AGTCATCACTTGCTCGAAGAACTGCGAGTTACTAGGAGACTAGAGGTAGGATAAGTCAGACAGAAGTGGCCAGATGGCTAAATGAGGGTCCTTCTGTGGTTCATAGATTTTGGCAACAATTTTTAACCACATATTCAGCATCCAGGAGATTCAGGCAATGGTTACAACGATTGCTGATAACGGATATTTGTTGTTATGTGCATGAAGGAATAGAACCTCAACTTGGACTCAACTCATATCCTCCCTTGCTGCGGTCACTGGAAGGTTGATGTCAATATCAACTTTGCATAGAAAGTTGAGAAACTAGTCTCACATCATGTCATAGAAGGGAAAATTTGAGGTCCACTGGACAGCTGATCAATGGAGGTCTGTTCTCTTTACAGATGAGTCGAAATTTAGCCTAGTAGGTGTTACGTATGTCTTTCTACGTGGAACGTGGTTTAGCCTAGTAGGTGCTACCCATGTCTTTTTACGTGGAACCGTGAATGCTCAGGGCTATAGAGATGACATCCTTGATGCTTATGTGTGCTCTTATGCTGAAGCAATACATGATGATTTCTTGCTACAGGATGATAACACTAGACTGTGCAGGGCTCACTTATCGTACATTTACTTATCCTCAAACTAATTTCTGTTTCAGTAGAATTAAACCTAATTTTTGGGGGGAAGGGGCCTTAACCTCTTGTGAGGAAAATGAATCCTGCTCATATTGCATTATGGTTGCTGAAATAAAAACTTACTAAAGATGGAATATATAATAATTGAATAAATCTAATAACCTCATTTGTGTATATTGACAAAGCATAGATGTTTTTGCATGTAGTAGTGAGTATTTATTTATAATCTTGGTCACTAATACAGTTAGAGACCTTGGCCAAAAAAGAAAGTCTAAAAGTGTAAGATAAATTAGCATCAATGTTATTAGAACTAAATTATGAACGATTAATTGATTAATCTTTTGTATCTGATGCTGTGAAATTCTAAGCTGAATTCTAATGCAAAATCACTCTTAAGTACAGTAGAAAGCCCAACTATTTGGCATTCAACTAACTAGAAATCTCAAGTAATTAGAATATTTAAAAATTTTAGGAATTTTCTTTTCTCTCTTTTTTTAATAAAAATTAAAGTAAATGAGAAACTTGTGAAACCATCATATAGCACGTATAATGAGAGAGACTGTGATGGGAATGAAGAGGTCTTGTTATATGGAAGATGCTAAATGTGCATCTATGGAGTGCAGATCTTACTTTTAAAGGTCATAATAAATCATAGAGAAGGAGACTTATGGATTGGGATAAAATAAAGCAATATCACCGATTTATTTTTCAAATCCACTTAGTAGTAAAGAAACAGTCTCCGATGGGGAAATAAATACAAATAGTAATGGGCTATGGATTTGTGAAATGTGTATTCGTGAGAAGTTTCTCAAGAGCTTATATCATATAGATTGTAAAATGTTGGAACACAAGCAGAAAGCAAAATCATGTCAAAAGGAATCATAAAATCAGTAAGCACCAAATTTTAAAATTTTGAATGACAGACTAAGATTCAAAATTGTTACTAACTACATGAATGGAATGACCAACTAAAGATGATAAGAAATTAGCAAAGAGCTCCAAGAATTTTTTGCTAATAATAACACTGAAAATTTAATCATGCATTTACTTCAGATTGTTACAAATTTCGCATCTTATCCATGTCTTCTTGTCCCTCTCTGAAGCTATCCACATATGATGGGAAGACCTTTAGGCAAGTAGATAAGACACAATTTTCTATACTGGCGGAAGCGAACAGATGGGATTCCCAAGCTAAGGACTGTCATTTTGTCGCTTCTGTGAGAGCAGACGCAGCATATATTCTTCGAACTCTTCCAGAAAAACCATAGACTTCAAAGCTCTGTCTGTTGGAGTTCTGCTTCGGGAAGAAATGTTTAAAACACTACAGCAGGTTTCAATTAAAATTCTGTTAATGGAAGCCTACGGAAACACCCCAAGAGCTCGCCATGGATTTTGAAAGGCTGTCTCACCTGGCCTTTTTGGAGTGACCGACAGAAGCAAGGGAAATTTTCTCCCTGCAGTACTTCATCGACGGTATCCGGGAGATCCTGAAATACAGAAAACTCCTATGAATAGGAGATGTCAAGGATTTAAAAAAACACTCTGGTGTATGCCATGAAATTCGAGGCAGCCCAGCAAGCAACTCGTAGACACCACCATCCAATCAGACCTGCAGAAATCCAGGAGCCAGTGGATCAAGTGTTTGCTTGTCTAGATCAGGGTTTCTTAAACTTTTTTCAGTCGTGACCCCCTTTTATCTAATTTTTTCACTTGTACTGTAATATATTATTGCAGTTTTAGGTCATTAACTTTAATTTCTAATTTTAAGACATAGAACAACCTGAAAATTTTAAATAAGTAACAGACGAAATGACAGCGTCATGTGTAAAGCCTGAAAAATGAACGTTTATAGTATAAAAAGAATGCATCAAAACATTTTCGTTTTTTCTTTGTCTGTGTTGTCTTATCTTTATCTATTTTCAGATACACAGTGTAAAAATATTTGGTAATTGTAAAATTATTATAATAAGTTAAAGAAATATCAAAGCTGCTAAAATTTTTGGTGACCCCCTGCTGCAGATCCCTAGATGATTTAACCAGACAAGTCAATGCTTTGAGATGGAATAGGAGTGAAAAAAAAACCAACTGTAAAGTTTTAGAACTGTGGCACTGAAACCACATACAATGGAACGGCAGAACACCCCAAGGCACAAAAGTTAAGACCACTCCTATCAAGAAGGAGGGAAACTAATTAGTGGCCATCTTGCAGGGCGGAGGTTGCCAGATAATGAAAAGTCCCAGTTTAAAGTGCTTCAGATTTTTGCAGTGCGTGGCAGCAGTAATGGACTTTTCATCATGGGACATATCAATGGAGTTCCTTGCAGTATGATCATCGGTACAGGAACAAATGTTACCATCATTTGGAAAGATTTAGCTCTACAATGTAAAAGAACTCATTTGGACCCCATTCCTGTGTTACATTCGAGACAGCATCTGGTAATCAAATAGAAATAGATAAAACGTTAAATGTAAACATTATGTTTGGAAGTGCCGCCTACTATCTTACGGCATATCTGGCAGATATTACAGATCTTTGTAAACTCAGATTGGACATTCTAAGGAAATATAATTTTTCCTTTGACTTTAAAAATAACGAACTGCATTCAGCGTCTGAGGACATAGCGCTATTTGGAATTAATAATGGAGTTAAATTTCTCCACGAAATCATAGCTCAAGTTGATATGCCACTACCAGCAAGAACAGAAATTTTATTTCCTGGATCCATAGCCGAAAGTAGAAATTTCAGCTCCAGCGTCATGGAATATCCTTAGAACTTGTATCAGTACAAAAGGAGTACTAATAGCCTCAGCACTCGTTGACCTATCGAGGACCATCATTTCGGTGAGAGTCACCAATGTAACTAACAAAGTAAGAGTTATTAAGAAAGGTGAAGTGATTTACCAGTGACCAGTGTTAAACAAAACAGTAACATCCCAGAATCCATGTTGTCAGAGAGCATTACATCAGAGTTAATGCACAATTAAACGATGAAGAGAGGAATGCTACTGAATGTGTCAACTTGAAGATGTTTTCTGATGTGGGACGAACGAGTTTGACACAGCATAGAATCAATACCGGGTTTCATCCACCAATTAAGCCACATCCAAGATGTCTAAACAAGAAGAGGTAGGAAAACTTCTAAAGGACATGCAAGAAAGCAATGTCTTTGAGTCTTCAGCATGTCCATGGGCATCTCCCATCATCCTGGTCAGTAAGTTAAACTAGATTTTGCATCGACTATTTGTGCTTGAACAAGGTTATGAAGAAAAACAGTTACTTCTTCCATAATTGACGACATTCTGGACATTATTTCTGGAAGCAAGTGGTTTTTGACACTTGATTTAAAAAGTGGATATTGGCAGGTAGATATATATCCTGATGACCAAGAAAAGACGGCATTTACTACCAAACAAGGACTTCAGGTTGATGCCTTTAGGACTATGTAATGCACCAACAACATTCAAATGCCTCATGGAGACTGTGTTGAGGGGTCTTTCCTATGATGCCTGTCCGATATACTTGGATGACATCATCATCATTGGGAAGACTTTTGAAGAACATCTAGAAAATCTTAGAAAGGTGCTCCAGAAACTTAAAGAAGCCAATCTAAAGTTAAGCTTTAAATAATGTAATCAAATTTATTTATATTAAGCATTAATGATTTGCAACACTGAAAGTTTCAAAGAGTGCAGATGTATTTTGCTTACACGTATTCCTAGTGTCCCATAAGCAGGACATTCATTTGCTCAACAAATATGGTAATCGTGATCACTTTGACACCTAAAGTGTATTTAAACCTTTCATAAGCGATATAAGTTCATTAATATGGATAAAATTGCCCCCAAAAAAACTTGGGCATAAATGGGTTAAGGCCGGAGAGCATCTGCTCTCAGTTATTTAGTTAGCTGCTGTTATAGTTGCCAGTTTAGTACGAGATCAGATTAGCTTTAAGATGGGCTTTGCAAGGTGTTGTATTTAACGTTCTTAGTAGTTTGTAGTATAACTACTGATTATACCGTATGATACAGTGAATATGTGTACGAATATTTTTATGGAAAATTCCAGAGTTCTGAAATATTTCTTTTGATAAAAAGTAAATTTTATTAACCTATTATTGGACTTGTGCATTCAGTCTATTATGAACCCGTACACACACAACAAGGGGTATTAAATTACGTATCTGAATATTTTATTAAAGTGTATGTCTATAATATTAATTACCATAGTAGCAGTTCTAAAATATTAGCTTGCAAAAATAGCAATGCATTTCTAGTTATGATCTATGCATGTGTTGACTATATCATATATCAAGTAATTGGAAAATTGTGAAGTAATTTGTTTGTAATAATAAGACAGATATATCTGAGATGAATATTTTTTCAGCACCTCCTCCTCTGAGACGGACTCGAGCTGAAATGATGAAAAATATAGATGCAGATTACTATGGTTATAGAGATGATGATGATGGCATATTGATACCACTGGAAAAAGCAAGAAGTGAACAGCTGGAGAAAGAAGCTATGGAAAAATGGTTATTAAATAAAGGGAATGATGCCAATTTAGGAAAAGAAGAAGAAGATATTTATGCTGTTCAAGAAGAGCCAGTGGTATAATCTTGAATTATATTTGTTATTCATTTCTTATAATGCTGAATTATATTGTTGTTTCGTATAATGTTGAGTAATGTATCAATTACTTCATTTTTTAACGCATGACTTAAATGAAGGTAAAAAATTATTAGAAATAATGTGTAATAATGGTTTTTAGTTGGGTTATAGTAATTCTATTTTATGTGATGAATTAAGATTAACTCCAATGCACAAAAGGTCTTTAAAAACTTGTCAATAGACAAAAAGTTAATAGGCTTGTCAACTTAAGCAATTTGATGAATGAAGACAGAAGGAGGGAAAATTTTAGTAGGGATAATCATTGTAATGATTTTTCTCTCCTTCCAACCATATGCAAAGGCAAGGGAAGTAATGCTTTTAGTCTGAAAATTCGACGGTGAGTTTTTAGTAAATAAGCACAGGTTCTCACAACATGTTTTTACTATTTTTACAATGATGTCTGTTGGTGTGTGTGACGATTTTTTTTGTCCACAGTTATGCTTATGTTAAACTCTCCAAAATTTCTGTTTTTAGGCTTCTAAAGGCTATTTAAGCTTTCATATAAAGAGTGTATTAGATTTTGGGTAAAGTTGGTCACCTGGAAGTGGTTTCCCATGACAGTTTTTAATGGACAACACTTTAAAAACTAGTTTAAACCATTATGGTACTTTACTTGAAGCCCATAATGGTTTTTAATGAAAAACTATATCAAAATATAATCCAAGACTTTTTAATTTTAGTATTTGAGACTTTTATATCAATGGAAATAACATGGTAGATTTGGGCTAAAATTGATAAGCTAGAAGTGATTTATTATTTCAAGCTCTGGGCAGACTTTTGGGAAAACATATCATGATATAATCCAAAACTTTTCAGATTTAGTTTTTAGAACTTGTATATGCATATTTGCTACATATACAATAATGACTGAGAACAACATATTAGATTTTGACTATATATGGTTAACTGGAACTGGAACTGGTACTTTACTTAGATCTCCTAATAGATTTTTGTGGGGGGGGGATATAGAACCACTATAATAAGAATTTAATCTGAAATAATGTAATACATATGAAGACTTTTCAATTATATTTGATATACTATTTTTAGAATTTGTAATATTGGCATGTTACCAAAAAATGTACTTACTTTCTTGCACTGTCAATGATGATGAGACGCAAGAGCAAACAAGAAATTTGAGAACACCTTATTGCTTTACTTCTAATTCCAGAATGCATTTGTTACTATAGAAATAACATTAAAAAAAATAAATTATGCTATTCAAAGTATTTATTTTAAATGGATTGCAAATACTTAATCTTCTGTAATTAAAAACCAGTTATATATTATTCAACCACTCGATAAAATGTGATTTTTAATAAAATAAAATAAAGTGGAAAAGATTTCAATATGTTAATATAATATAGAAAAACTAGCTTTTACACATGGCCAGTTATATCTAATAAAATTTAAGTTATGTAATACAAATTATTCTATTTATTGCAACAACAAATATGAATTTGTTTACAAATTATCGACTTGAAGTGGTACTTTTATTTAAAGGTAGCTATTTAAAACATGGAATTAGCGGAAGTCCTGTACTAGCCGCATCAGATTTTTTATTATATGCTGCTTAGCTGTTTATGTATGTACATAAAAATTATTTCAGACATTTACTTGAGTAAGAATTCCATAAAAATTGTTTTATAATGCAGTATTATTTTATTTTAACTCTGCGGAAGAAATAAATGTATACAAGGTCATATAAATTATAACAATGTAATATACTTTTTTAAATTGCAATTCAAATGAGTGTAATTCATGAAAGAGAGATTTATACAAAAGCTAATAGAAGAGTACGTACTTTACTTTTTTTTATAATTATTGTAGCAGAAAACTGAAATTATATTCAGAAGTATTGAATTTGTATAGTTATCCATCTATTACATTTATTATATTAATATTTTGTATTTCCCTTGCACAATTATAAAATCAGTTAGTATTAAGTTTTCAGATTTCGGTTGAAGGCAAACAAAACTATTGATGACCATTGGGATGGCATTACCAACTAAAGCTAATAAGAAGCTAGTACATTATACAAGATTAATGCAATAGATGGACAGCTCTTGTTAAGATAATTTAAATATATGAATAATTAGTAGATAGCAATCTTTCCTGTAGTGGGAGCATTCTCATGAAAAATTGGGAAACCCTGATATAGGTTTATAAATCATATAGGTTGATATCATAAATTGTAATTAGCAAGTTAGCATAGCCTAGATTCTTTTCAAACTTTAGTGACTGAATTGAATTTTCTGAATCTAGTTTAGCCATTCTGGAGTAAAATGCTGATATTGATATGCAGCACATATAGTGTGGAAGTGCATCAAATAATCCTTGTTAATGTATCATTTGGCATAAATAATGAAAATATCATACAAAAAGACTGTAGGATATTTTTGTAAATGTAAACTTAAATTACATTTCTGAAGTTAAAAACAGCCCAAAACATTATATATCTAAGTCTTAAAGTATTAACAAGGTATTCAGGGGGGGAATGTTTAGACATAAATTTAAAAATGGCCAAATCCATTTATCATTTTACAGTTTTATCTATGAGAATGCTGCCAAGGCTGCAATGCAGGGAAGAGATAGCAATATTACAGCCGCTAAAAGGAACAAATGTCACAAATATTGGTGCTCACTCTGAATTTAATCACATTCATTATGTAAACCATCAGATTTAGATAAAGATTCAAACAAAGATCAAAGATTTTGTACCTGTTCTGTTTTTTAATAATAATATATATTAATCTTGTTAATATTTCACATTGAATCTCCTATGTTCATTTTTCCTTAATTTAGAGTGATGACGAAACTTCAGTAGATGACCTATCTGATGAAGCTGGTCAGCCAAGGTTTATTGCTCATGTTCCTGTTCCCACTCAACAACAGGTAGCTCATCTTTTAATTGCATGCAAATAAAAGAAACTTTGTGCATTTTTCTGTAAGGCCTGTTACAGAAATTAATTTAATAAAAAATATTTAAAGATTTTTAATGTTCATATCTGCATTGTCACATAAACCAGAATTCAAAGCATTAAAATGTTCAAAAATTAAAAATGTTTTTTCTACTAAAATTGAAAGAGTTAAACATATGTGCAGTTAATTTAGATGTCAAACAACAAAAATCAGCGTTATATATTCAAATTTTCACAGGACTAGTTTCGATGGTTGTGAAAATTTGAAAATATAATACTGATTTTTGTTGTTCGACTTCTAAATTAATCTGTGCAGTTGTGAAAATAAATTTTTTTTTCCTGTGGGAAGTTGTTAATACATTGTAAATATGTAATAATACATTGTAATACATAAAATCTAAAACATTAAAAAATTGCTTTTAAAAGTAAACTAAATATATTACAATTTGTTAGTTTGAATATTAAAATATAAAGGAAAACTACTTAATTATGGAAAATGTTCACATATGTAATTTTTAATTAATACTATTTATTTATACTTTTGTTTTCTGAGTAACTTAATTTACTTTCTTACAGATTGAGGATGCCTTGATTAAGAAAAAGAAAGAAGAACTTATGCAACTTTATGCATCATCAGATATAATAAAAGCTGTAGAGGAGACCAAAGCCTTAATAGGGAAATAATTTTTTTGGGGCCCTATCTCAATGGAATTCTTTTGTATATATTGTTGATTATTATGTAAATAAATGCAGTTTTTAATAAAATTATTGTGTGCTTTAAGCTGTAAAAAGAAGTTTCTGGGGCTAAACATTCTGGAAATTGTACTCATATAATTGAACAGTCAAAAGTCTTTAAACCGGAATCGTTGGGGCTTCGGCGATTCCGGATTATAGATCAACAATTTAAATCTGGTAAGATGGCATTCGGAAATTATAAAATTAAAAATATGAACCATAATTTATGAAATAAAGAGCAATATTTAAAGGGTATCAAACTTACAAAAAAAAAAAGCTAATATTATTGATTACTTTATAAACATTTCTTTCATGGCGCTGCTAGCAACCTATGCAACGTCGAATTAGAAATTGCAACCAGAAAACTATTGATGTGTATTCTGAATTTATAATGACGAGGAATTTGATTTAAATCATATCAAAGATGGAATACATCAAGATGATACTACATTAGTAAGATTTAAACGATAAATAAAACATCTGCTATGAAGATAGGATATGCTGACAGTTCAAACGCATGAATGGAATTTTCGGTCTCGAAGCACGCTTAGGCTAGTTTAGACTTATATTATATTGTCTAATATAGGTATTTGCACAAATCAGATTATTCTGAATACAATGTAAACTGCTTAAGAGATTTAAATATATCTCTCAAAATTTAGCTCTTTCAATGTATTGAGTTTATATCTATGATAATAGACTTTTTTTTATTAACTTACTTGATTCATTCTGCCGAATTTGAATTAGGTCATTCAAATAAAATTCGTCCATTTTTATGATTGTTTTAAATAATTTCATAAATTTTCGAAAAAATTGGATTATAACCTATAAATTTTAAATCATCTAAAGTAGATGGATTCTAATTGAAAATCGATGTGTACCCACATGACTTCCTTGTCGGAATATTACTTATACGCATTTTTCCTTGATTCATTTAAATGATTGATGATAAAATCACTTCGTAGACAGTGCATAAACCACAAGAATAATGCACTCTTGAAAATCACTATTTGTTACATAATGACACTCTGAATGCACAATTATATCATTGAAGATTATCTTATCCTGCACATGTTCTATTCAATACTAAATAACTAGAACGCTGTATGAAGAAATTAAGCAACAAAACAAAAGAAACAGTTTTTCCATACGATTAGTATTTTATTCATTAATTCAGTTCCACTTCGCGACAAGGCAAAAATCAAAAAACTCAAAATATCTGTTTAAAAATACGAAGTAACTCTTAACACTATTTCCACGAAAAATTCCAGAAAGGATTAAGCATGATTTAATTTGCAATAATAAGCTTGGTCGCTCTAGATTCCAACAAATCTACAATTCTGCTGTCAAACGTAAACAAATATGTCCGCCATGTTTTTAAAACCGCACTTAAACAGCTTTTAAATTGTTGATAATTGTACAAATATGCTTCTAGAATTACGAAAGGCATAAAACCTTAACGGAAGATAAGAACAACATAATTCAATCATTTTTAAAGCAAAAATTTACAATTTACAACATATAAGAGTAAAGAAACTGAGATCACTGTGCCGAGTAACAAAGTAGATATAATATATATATATATAAATATAGTATTTAATACGTTTGGCGTGGCCGATTGCAACCAAAAACGAGGTGCAATCTACATGTTATAACAGTCTTATATACAAAATTTCAACGTTTCGGAGGGCTACTCGTTTTGAGTTATGCGAGATACGCACATACATTCATACAGACGCCACGAAAATTCTCTTCAGAATAATTTTAAGCAGTTTTAAGTTTTTTGGAGGAAACGAGTCTTTTATTCTGTCCTTACGTACAGATATCGCGCAAAACATCGTTAAATTGCATTCGATAGCAGTCAAAATGGATATTTTCGTTGAAATATGCTGCCTGAAACTTTTTGCGATTACAATACTTCCTTTTTACTTTGTACAAGGAAGTAAAAATTAGTTTTTTATTCAAAATTTCCTAAGATATACATGAATTCGCGTTTTGAAAGTTGACGCATTTAATATAAGCAATAATAACAAAAATGTGGTTTGCACACATTTTTAAAGTCATTTGAAAAAATTAACGATGAACCTTTTTTCCTCTCATGCATCAATGAAAAAGAAAAGTAAGTAGATTACTATAAATTAAGAATTCTGCCAAGTGAACTATTCTTGGTGTAAACTGAAAAAATTGTGCCAATATAAATCTTTAAATTTTTCGATAAATTTGTCACCAAAAATTACGAAATTTAATATTTAGGCATAATTTGAGTCGTAGAATCGAAATATAGAAAAAATACATGTTATTTCAGAAAAGGTTCGATTTTGTATCAAAATACCTATGTTAGAAGAATGCTATATATATCGTTAATCATGCTTTCGAGACATGAAAAACGCAATTTTAATTTCGTCCGTTGGCTCAGTAGAATGGGAGGTATAGAACTGTCCCTCCTTTTTTTTTTTTTTTTTTTTTTTTTCCCACAGTGTACATGCATTTCAAAATATTTGCAAACTATTAAAGATGTTTAATAGAAGAAAAAGAAGAATTTTGATGCAAAATAGCAGAGGCATTTCAAATTTATGGCCAAAAAAAATACTTTTCCATGGCATTTTAAGAACTTAGGTTTTTTTCGATCCAGATATGTAAATATTTGGAGGGAAGAAAGAAATTAAAGTAAAAACATAGTAAGGAAAGAAAAATTAAGATGAAATTGGTGTCAGTCAAAATAATCTTTTGAAAATTTTTTTAATTATTTTTTAAAAGCTGTGTAGTTTTAAACTAATAGAAACCTATACTACTTGATTAACATAACGGGTGTACAAATAAGTCTCCGCTGTTTGACAAAAGATATTAGCAATTTTGTTTCAGCATCATATATATTTTTTTATGTCGAGTTTTGAGTTGAATCAGTGTCATTTGCAGGAACTTTTGATTTATTTCTTTAATTTGAAGGAAATCTGTAGCTGAGGCACATTGATTGCTTGTAGAAGCTGCTTTAAGTGAGAGTAATTGTCGCAAACGGTTTCAAAAATTTAAGAATGGTAAATTTGGCGTCAGAAGGCAAAGAATGTAATGAAATGCTGAAAAAGGATGAGGATTCAAAATTGGAAACATTATTGGATGAAAAGTCATGCCAAACGCAAGCAGAATGTGCAATTACATTAAGAGTGACTCAACAAGCAATTTCGCATTGTTTAAAATTATTGGGAATGATTCAAAAGCAAAGAAATTGGATTTCATATGGACTGAAGCAGAGAAACATTGAACACCATTTTTTTACATGTGAAATGTTGCTTGTGAGACATAAATGAAAACATTTTTGCTACAAATAAGTCACTAACCATGAAAAATGGATCCACTATGATAACCCTAAGAAGAAATTATGGGGACCACCGAAGCATGTTTCAACATGGACAACCAAGCCGAATATTCATGGGAAAAAAAATCATGCTGTGTATATGGTGGGATGAGCTTGTTGTCGTGTGTTACAAGTTCCTCAATCCAAATGAAACTATTATCGGGCTCTCTGCTGAACACAGTGGATAAGATTGAGCCAAATATGCAAGGAAAAACAAGCTGACTGCTACTTCAGACAAGACAAAATTATTCTCCTGCATGATAAGCTCAGCTGCATGTTGCATTGCCCATCAAAACGTACTTGGAAACACTCAAATGGGAAGCTTTATCCCACCTGCCTTATTCACCAGACATTGCTTCTTATGATTACGACCATCTTTTTCTGAAAATAAGACATCCTCCGAAAATAAGCCCTATCGTGATTTTCGCAATTTTTTGTAAAATAAGACATCCTCCGAAAATAAGCCCTATCGTGATTTCGAAACTTTTTGTAAATAAGACATCCCCCCCCCCCCGAAAAAATCCGTAGTTAAAAGAATGTGACAAAAAGAATTTATTTGAAAAATGCTGTTGATTTATTAAGTAAAGTAATAATTGTTAGCTTTCTAATACCGTATTTCAGAGAAATGTTTGAACAAATATTCCGAGAAATTAATTGTTTACTCTACAGTTTGTTCAAAATTTAATTCTGGAATTTATCTTAAACCAGTTCACCGTTAGCCCCGAGAGAGATACGTTCACAGGAAAGGCACCATCATCCGTTAGACAAAATAACTGATAGTGATGTTTCCAATGCACTACGAACAGGCTACTTAGACAAGAAGTATTCATTTAACGATAGCTATATCGCAAGACATGAGAGATTCGGACCAATGATTCAACAGGAGATGGATTTGGAAGAAAATCAGAATATAATTCAGAATTTTATTTATGACGATGTTCTAGAAGAAGATGACATGACTGTAATTAAATAAATTTAAATTTCTGTATTCTGTGTAAATAATATTAAAAAAAATATATATATACTTTTATTTTTGCCCTTTCCCGAAAATAAGCCCTAGCACGTATTTTGGACCAAAAAAGAAAGTAAGACAGTGTCTTATTTTCGAAAAAAGTCGGTACATGTTTTGATTGATGGTGCATGGACTGTCTGAGCTACGCTTCACATCATATGAAGATACCGAAAATTGGGTCGATTCATGGATAGCCGCAAAAGATGCAGCATTCTTTCGACGTAGTATCCATACGCTGACAAAAAGTAGTGGTTGGATATGTACAATGCTTTGAATAAAATATAAAGTACTGTTCTTTCACAATAAATGCTCAATTTTCTATAAAAAACAGAGACTTATTTATACTCCCAGTAAGAAACAACAATAAGCATTGCATTTTAAACTCCAAGGGGAGCTGTGCTACAAAAGGTCATACGTATCAGGTGTTATGGATTACATTAATATATGCATTTACTTGCACTTGCAAGCTTCTAAGTGTATGAGTCTGGTATTCTTCAAGGTGAAATGTAATGTTTGTGCAAGATCTGAGAAAGCATATTCTTACTTTATGTAATCAAAATAACTTTTCAAGCAAGTTACATAATAATTTCAGTCCCATTTCAGAGTGAATCTATTACTATATCAGTGCAATAAAATATTTTAAAATGAAAAAATATGTCCAGAAACCTTCAGCTCAATTAGA